GGCGCCCGCGTCCGTGCCGGTGCTCCGCCACCGCGCCAGCGTCGATGCTGCCCCCAAGAGCTACGATGCGCTGTCCGGTGTGGCGGCCATACGAGCGCGCTTTGAGAAGCGTGGTTCGTCCTAGCCGGTCGTAGGCTCCATGATGGCCGACGCCAACAAGCGCATGGATGAGGATAAAAGTGGTGTTTTTGTATGTGCTAGTAGTCGTCGTCCGTGTCTACTTGGTCGCTGTCTTGCCAATGTACTTGGAGGGCATGGTAAAGTCGGCGGTGCCGGCGCCGTACTGGAAGAGGCGGCCGCAGACGGGCATGACGTCCCACTTGAGCTTCATGGTGACATCGGCGCCGCGGAGCTCGTCGTGCTGGTCGGCGAGAAAGTACTTGACACCTTCGTCGGTCCGGCGCAGCATCGCCTCGTCCTTGCTTTGCACGATCGCGTCCCAGATGACCACCTCGTTCTTCATGTTGGACGCGCTCGTGTACTCGGCGACAATGTACACGAAGAGCTGCTTGGTGTTCCAGTTGAAGACCGAGCGCAGGTCCGCATCCAAGTCGAACGAGAGCACGGCCTTCTCCGTGCGGTCGCGGTACTTCTTGAGCGAGTGCACCGTGTTGAGCGAGAGCGTGTGGATGACCGGCGCCGGCTCGTGGAGGTACGTGGTCAGCGTCGTCAGCGCGCACATGATGGACATGGCGGTCATTGCGAGCGTGAAGAGCGCGTTCGCCCGCGTCCAGATCGTGTGCATCGTCGTCGTCAAGCCCAACTGTGGTTGCCCACGTGGCCCCGTGATCCGGATACCGTGCCCGGTCATCCGGTTCACGGTACCATCTGCGGTTTCAACGACTAGCCGCACGCCATTTTACGCCTGAATCGCGCGATCTTGAACACAAGAAAGTTGGGTGTTTTTCCATGTTTCGGTTTCAGCACAGCGAAATATGCCCAAGTCCGACGACGACAGGCTAGTCGCCGACGAGGTAGTACGGATGGACGCAGGCCCTATCTTGATGCACGTAGGCGACGACGAGCATGGAGGGATGCCGGCTGGTAGAGCACGTTGCGGCTCGGCGTCGACTGTCGCCGTGGATGCGCGAGCTCGTAGGCGCGAGTTCATGGCATGGCTGGATGAGGCACGGAGCGCACTAGGTCCAGCTCCTCGCCTCTGGCGACGTGGCTGTAGACGTGCTCTTGCGCACCGTCGATGTACATACGAGTGAGCCACGGACGACCCATGCCCATCGCAGGACGTAGGTGGAGCTTGCGACGAACGTCCCTCTCGTGCCATCGACCGCGTCGTCGCCCGTCTTTCCGGCCCTGCAAGAGCTGCTCTTTGCTTCAGTTGTACCAAGTCTATCGATTGCGCGTGATCGAACGTCTGTAGATGGGCCATCGCTGGGCCCCCAACCTGGTCTGGGCTGGGCTTCTCTGGCCATTGAAGACGACGACATTGGCGCCCCGCAAGGACCTGCATATGCTCATACACGTGCACGGCTGCAGCGTCCTTATCCCTCTCTTGCTCGTCAGCCTTGCGCTCAGCTGCAGAATACGTTTGTCATGCATGCTTTGTAGTCTGTCCTTGGTGCCCTTCGCGTCTCGTCGGCGCCGCCAACGGCCGACGACCTCCATGTGCTCCTCGAGACGCGCGCCAACGTACGACACGACTTGTTTTCTTCTGCATATCAATACCAAGGTCGGAGGTGGCTGCACATTAGGCGCGGCGACTGCCGTGGGCCGCGATCTGTGCCGCACTGCCTCGCAGCCGCAAGGTCCAGGACCAGTACCGCGCTTCTTACGTGGCGGCCTGCCATCGCACCCTCCACGTACGCGTTGATCGCTCTTGGGTCATAAAAACACTGTATGTACTAGCGCTCTCCGACCGCGCCTCTGCGCTACCGCTTCGTGGGCTTTGACGTCGACGGGACGTTGGTGCGATATCGCACGGACCGTATCCTGCGCGACTCGTTTGCGGCCATGGCCCGCCGCCTTTTGCTGGTGCCGTGTTCCGATGGATCCAAATCAATCTATTGTGTCGCTTGATACAGGTCTACCCCGCGCTGCAAGACGTGCGCCCGCCGACGTGGCGCCCCGCGCTCGCCCAGCGATCCGTGGCGATCGATATCGACGCGGGGCATTTCTTCCTTCTGGGCGACGACAGCAATACGATACTGCGCGCCTTCCACGGCTCGCGCGAGCTCGTCGACGGCGTTGCAACCTTGCCATGCTCGGCGCTACTGTACATGCACACCCTGCAGGATGTGGTGTTTGCACCGCTCTTTGCGTGGCTCGTCGACGCCGTCGACAGCGGCAACGTACATCCGCCTACGCAAAGCGGCTCGTCCTCATGCAGTTGTAGCTCCCGACAACGCCAGGGACCTACGCGTCGCTGGCCAGCAGCGTGCGGCTGGTGGCGTATCAGTACAACGCCCAGGAGCTCGAGGTCATCGGCCACTTGCACACGAATGTTACGTTGCTAAATACGCGTAGCCAGCCCTCGTCGCGACGCCAGCACAGTACATATTCGCAGCGAAAGCCACCGCCGCCGTCCTCACGCAGCTTGCGAAGCGGTACACGCTCTTCATTCTAACCAACGGGACGTGGGACCATGCCAACCACGTGCTCACGTGCGCGCTGGGCGCTGGGTGGGAAGGAAATTTTGAGTTTGTCCTGACCGAAGCAAGAAAAGAGACTTTCTTTGCGCGACAAGTACCGACCCGGCCCTTCCACGTCGGTCGAGTTGCTGCTGCTGCGTTGCTTGTTAAAGGGTAACCAATGCGCTCTTTGGGTAGCAACTGCGGCCGAATGGCACCCGCTGTCTCGCGCCGAGCCCGCTACCACTGACGGGTCGCTACTGCGGTGGCGACGCCAGCAGTCTGCACGCTGCGTTACGTGTCGCTCCAGACCAAGTAGCGTGCTCTCTGCAAACGGTGTGTCGGATGAGGCGGTAGGTGTGCTACGTGGGTGACCACCCTGTCCAAGACGTCGAGCTGCCCCGAGAGTGCGTCGGCTGGGACACGATAGCGCTCCTCGAGGAGCTGCGTCCTTTCGTACGCTCGCACTCTCGACGCGTGTCCTATCGACGGTATCGTAGAAAGAGGAGCGAGCGCGATGGCCGTGGCTCTGTCGCCGCCGCCATAAGACCGCGCCGGACCACGCCATCGCGGTGCCGTCGCAGCTGGGCTACGTGCGCGATGTCCCGAGCGCAGTCGGCGCCCGCCTTCTTAGCTCGAGTGTCATGTGCATCGGTTCGATTGACGAGTTAGGACGCTACGTCTAATGTCGTCGTCTACTTGGTGAGCTCCTTGTTCATAAACTTTCGCTTCGCAAAGAGCATCCACCACTTGCTTCGCGAGCCGTCGACGTACACGAGCTCGATAAGGCGCATCGCGAGGGCTTCGCGGAGCTGCTTGAGGTACCCGCGCGTTGTCTCGCTCTCGGCCATGTTGGCGGCCATCTTGACCATGCCGCCGAGCGGGAAGCTTGACTCGCCGGGGATCGCAAAGCTGTCGGCCGCGACCTGCGACAGCTGACGCTGCGCATCCGACTTGGAGCTGCAGCGCTCGAGGCGCTTGAGGCACATGTGCGTAAAGAGCGTGCCATAGACAAGGACGCGGTCGGCGGCGCCCTTGATCTCGTAGTTGGTGAAGAGCACGTTGGCCCGGAAGAGCGTCAGGATCTCGTCGACGACGTCTTCCTGGTCCTCGGGGCATGGCGGCGCGGGCCCGCGGGTGCGACTCTTGAGCGGCAGGAGCGCAAAGCCGCACGCCTCGGCGCATGGCAGCTCGTTGTACATGGAGTGATACGCTGGCATGATGGCAGCCTCTTGCAAGATGACGGAAGGAAGCGGCCAGCGCCGAGATTAATTACCCGACTTGACGTTTGTATGTGCTTTTTTAATCTTATCCATCGACTTATCGGCTTGGTCGCACTTACGGGAGCAGGGCGTTTCGTCCGGATAAAGATTTGACATCGACTAACTAAACACATGGCTAGTCGATCCATACAAATCGGTCCTAGTCGATGAAGCGCAGCGAGCACTAGCATGCCCCATGCGCTGCTTCAAGTCGACCTCTTGCACCTTATTGCACGGTACCTACCGACGCGCGATGCGTTCCTGTCATTCATACGAGCCATGCCACGCGACTGCTTGGGCTACCCGCTGCAGTGCTGGCGCGAGCTGTCGACGCGCATGCCACTCGACGAGCTCTGGCCGCGGCTCCGGCTGCCCGCGCGCCTGCGCGACGATGACGCAGCGCTCTTCCGCGGCGCATCGCTCGTCTTTTCACATGTCGTCCTCTCGCAGCCACTCGACTTGACGCTATTGCGGCGCTGTGTCCAGCCGAACGCGCGGCTCCAGCTGCACGCGTCGAGCCTGCCGCTTGCGCCGACGCCCGCCTGGTTCCAGGAGCTCGCGACGTTCTCGGTCGCGTCACTGCAAGGTGCTCGACGCAGTTGCGAAGGTCTCACATCGGCGCTGCCTTTCTTCCGCTCTCTTTGCACACTGGACCTCGGGCGCAGCGAGCCCATGACGAACCAGCAGCAAGGCGACTTGGTGCATGCGCTCGAGACTGGGCTGCCGGCGCTGTTGTCGCTGCGGCTGCGCCACGAGCAACTGACAAAGGAAGCGCTCGGCGCGCTCGCGGCCTGGATCGCGACGCGACCTGTGCGTGGCGTTGGGCTCGTGGGCTGTGGCGACGCTGCACCGCGCGCGTTCTGCACCGCCCTGCACGCCAGCGATACGCTGCACACACTTGATATGGAGCAGAGTCCATTGGGGCTCAAGATCTGCCGCGATGTGTCGCCGGGTCACTGGCCCCACCTGACGACGCTTCGTCTCCACGCGTGCGCTCTCACGGCCCGCAGCGTCAAGAAGCTTCTGCCGGGTCTGCCAGCGCGCTCGCTTCGCAAGCTTGATCTCTCCGAGAATCCCATTGGCGACAAAGGCCTCCAGCTCCTCCTCGAGTGGCTGCCGGCGAGTAGCGTGCACTACTTGCAGCTGGCCAACGCGGGGTTGACGCCCAAGGGACTGATGGCACTCGCGTCCACGCTGCGCCGGCCCTCGCGCCTCGTCACCGTGTACTTGGAAAACGAAGCGATCGACGATCGCAGCCTCGCGCGGTTTGTAAAGCTCACTGCGCAGTCCCCGACCTTGCAGTACTTGGCGCTCTGGCACATGGCTGTCGCCGTTGAGAGCGCCATGGACATGGTCAACGCGCTGTACCACAACCAGAAGCTCGAGGTCGTGCTCTTGGGCTCGAGCGCGCTCACGACCCGCGCCGCGCAGATCGTCGACTCGTGCTATGGCGTGCGCGCAACGCGCTTTTCGTGGCCGCGCCGCCACTTGCGTCGACGCCATTGGACATCAACGCGCTGCAAGCTACGCTCGACAGTGCAGTGAACCAGCGCAAACGAGTATTGCCAACGTGTACGTGGGCCCACGACTAACCCCTCGAAGTACATGTGTACAGTACATTAGTCGACTGGGAGCGCCTTTGCAAAAGGCCGTACGTCATACTCCTTTGAAATCGGCGCAGGTGTCCATCGCGCTCAGCGACAGTGCTATCGACGTCTGCGTTCTTGTCATGCAGACGATGCAAGCTGTACTTGCATGGAAGATGACCATGGTCCTCCATTCTTCGATCCCCTCACGCACCCTAGCCGTCCTGTCCCATAGCAGGGCCGCTACGGAGACGAGGGATGGATCCATGAGGAGACCGCTCTCCGTTCGTATGGTACGCGGTGCGGTCGAATGTCGTCAAGTGGTGTAGCCAGGGCGTTTGGTGCAGGCTCTGCGACATGACATCTGGGGTTAGGGTACGACGGAATCAAACACCCGGCACTTAAAGGTTTGTTGGGCCAGTGGCATCCGCACGGGGATTCTTCTAAGTGTGATTAGGACGAGTCGGTGCCAATTACAGCACAATGTTGTCGATGAGGCGGCAAGCGCCGATCTTGACAGCCACCGAGATCACGGCGCCTTTGGTCGTGTCGACGAGCTCGAGCTCTTCCATCGTCTCCTTCGAGCCGACCGAAATGTATTGGATCTCGCCCACAAGCGGCTCGGTGCGGTAGATGCGCTCGATCGTAGCGCGAAGCGTCGCCGCCGGCATCGTCGGCGTCGTCGCCGCCTCAAAATCGGCCTTGGCCTGGCGCAGACCGGCGTAGAGAACGCTCGACGCCACTCGCTCGTCCGGTGAGAGGTACTGGTTGCGCGTCGACATGGCGAGGCCGTCGTCTTCCCGCATCGTGTCCATCACGCGAAGCTCGATCGGAAAGTTGAGGTCCTCGATGAGTCGCTTGATGACGACACATTGCACCGCGTCCTTTTGGCCAAAGAACGCGTGCGTCGGGGCCACAATGTTGAAGAGCTTGGCGACGACTGTCGAGACGCCGCGGAAGAAGCCAGGCCGGCACTGGCCTTCGGGCACGTCGTCAAAGCCAACCGGGTCGACGTACGACCTACTCGTTGGAGTGGACGAGAGAAAAAGGGGCGCATGGATGGCTACCGGTGGTCGGGCAGATACATGGTGGTCGTCGTCGGCGCGAAGACGATGTCGACGCCCTGCGCACGCAGCTTGGCCATGTCGGCCTCGAATGTCCGCGGGTACTTGTCGAAATCTTCGTTGGGGCCAAACTGCGCCGGGTTCACAAACACACTCGAGACGACGACATCGCACGTGGCCTTGGCCTCGGCAATGAGCGACATGTGCCCGGCGTGGAGGCCCTACGACGCGGCTACGTGCATGCTTCCTGCTGGCATCGTCGTCGCTTACCCCCATCGTCGGGACGAAGCCGACGGTCGCGCCCGCCGGCACCGCGGCCCTCGCTTGGCGGAAGGACGCAATGTCTTCGCAGATCTGCATCGTCGACGCATGGCGCGTGCCAAGGCGCGAGGCCATGCGCGCTGTCATCTTGGTCGTTGTCAGCATTGTCATCGACATCACCGCTCTCGACGAAACTGCATCAAATGTGTGGTGCGTTTGGCATGCCAAAAAGAGGGACCGTATTGTGGTTTAGTGACGCAAAAGGGTGCGCACCAGCTTTTAGCCGCGCAGCTCGCACCGTTCTCGCACCAGATATAATCCGTTCTAGCCCTGGTACTAGCCCCATCGATATACCATACATATATACCAACAACGCAATAGGATCGCATAGCTGATCGTCGTCGGTTGCGTACTTTCTTGCACAAGACGTCAGGATTCGGGTCCTGGCCTTCTGGAGGTGCGCCCTTCGCTCGTCGCAGGGTCCCAACGACGCCGACCAGTACAGTTCCAGCGAGCTGTTTCCTGGCAAATCTTAACATCTTCTCCATTCATACGTCTCGCCTTGAACTCGCGCCTTGGGCTCGTAACCTTGCTCTGACGATCACCACGACAACCCGACGATGTTGCCGCCGAACGAATAATGCAACTTCAACCACAAATGTTCATTTTCGAAGACGTCGGTTGGCTGCTTGGATCGCCCCCGAGATGATGTCTCCGTCCACTGCTACGTTGAAAGGACTAGGGACTCGATGCAAGAAGGATCGTCCTGCTGCTGCGTCCAAGGTCCAAGGTGCGAGACCTGGTCTCGCCTGCCGTGTCCCACGGAGGACGGAGGCTCACGTCGCAGCACCAGTCGGTTGAAGCTACAGTGTACCGACGTTGTCATTTTTCACCATTTCCCACCGTGTCCATCGTCGTGCAATCATTTTCCGTGAAAAAGAAGAGATTGGGATTTTGCCGAATACTACCGTGTCATCGCAGTCGACACGACATGGAAGCGTGGGTCGTCAACGAAGTGAACCACGCAGAGGAATGCCAATCGAGGAATGTCGTCGTCTGACTTGATTACTCCCTTTAGATAGCCCCGCGGAGATGCGTCTCTCGGACAATGCGCCGAAATACTAAAGCAAGGCGAGAGTGTGCGACCAATGGCTTGCCTTGCTACCGTGTGCTGATGAGGTATCTTCGGGTCCACAGTAGTGTTTACCAGTGATCGATGCAACATCCTCGCTTCGCGCGCCCATTGGGAACCAAGATCAACACTCACATGTCAGTAGAAACGAATCCGAACCGCACGAGGTTGCTACCAGCAACAAGAGCTCGAATTCTCTTCTGGTAGACACCACGTATGCTCCATGAGCAAAGCATCGTCGGTGCTATTAGTACAGGATCTGAGGAAGCACGGCGTGGTGAGGAGGATACGGTCAAAATTTGGCTGGCCATTTCCATCCGCCAGTTTCCCACATGGATTTATCACGTGTATTTATCACGTCCGAATTTCAGCAAATCAAGAGCGTTTGCAACATTAGAGGAGCGTTTTGGCATTTTCGCTCCAGCCACCAAGCAGCAGCAGCAGCAGCCCAAGCATGTTCGGCGGCGAGTTCACCAAGGTCAAGGCCATCACGAGCCTCCGGCCGGCCGACCACATCGCGGTGTGGGACCTCAGCCGGTGGCCCATCAAGTACCAGCACCATGGCATCGTCTGGGCGGCCGGCGACTCGGAGGACACGGTGCAGATCTGCCACGTATGGAGCCCGCTCGTGGGCTACCGCGAGGCGCAAGCCGACTCGTGCTTCCGCATCTCGACGCTGCGCGAGTTCCTCTACAACCGGTCGCTCGCGAGCCTCCGCGTTGTCGAGTACCACACGAGCAGCCTCCGCGAGCTCCTCTCCAAGTGGGGCGAAGTCCATTACACCCGCGCGGACCTGCCCGAGGTCATCCTCGCGCGCTGCAAGTTCCTCATGGGCCTCGGCAAAGGCGAATTCAACATCTTCAAACAGAATTGCGAGCACGCGGCCCATTGGTGCATGACGGGCGAGCAATGGTGCAAGCAGAACCTCACGCGCGCCAAGGGCCGCGTGCCCTTTGAGCACATGGTGTCGCCCGAGCAAGTGACCGCGCTCGATGACGAGATTGACGCGATCAAGACGATCTCCAAGAGCGTCGTTGACAAGACCCTTTCGCTCAACGGCCAGTCGGTCCACCTCCGCGTCCTCGGCGCGACCGAGTCGTTTTTAACCATCTTGCCGAATGGATACCTTGGCGTCACCGAGACGCGCGGTGACGCGTCGGCCTTCACCGTCAGCACGTCCTCCAAGGTCTACAACTCGATGAAGGTGAGCTTTCAAGTCGGCGGCAAGCACATGTACAGCCGCAGCACGATCTCGTGCTACCGCCAGATCCACATGAAGAAGTACAACTTTTGGCGCGGCCGGCCTGGCATGACGTGGGAACTCTCGTCGAACGGGTACATGAAGAGCATGAACCAGCACCGCCGGTACATTGGCCTGCGCACCGACAACATCTTGGTCGATGTGAGCATGCGCGGCGACGCCACGCGCTTTGAGCTCGTGCCGCTCGACGGTTCGCAGGCGGCGCCGTACGATGCACAGATCCGCAAGCTGCCATCGACCAAGGCGTTTGAGCTCGCGGTGCACAAGTCGATGCGCAACCTCGAGGCGCGCCGGAGCGGCCACAAGCCCGAAGGCGGCGAGGCCAGCATCGACGAAGGCGACGAGAAAGATGAGAACGACGAAGCGGCCACGTACAAGGCGTTTCCGAGTCCCCGGGCCGCCAGTAGCCCCAAAGCCGCGCTCGGCCACAAGATCTCCATGTAAGAATGCCTCTGCCGCTGTCATTGGGAATCAGCGCGAGGACCAACCAGAGAAATTCAACCCGATGCATGTCGACGCGACAATTTGCACACTCTAAACTAACCTGCTTTACCAACCAATATCCATGTCCGTGTCATCGGAAGCGCTCAGTACGAAGGTCAGAGAGCTACAAAGCGATCTTTGGCATGGCGCCATCACTCTACATTTTGCACATAATGCACACTCGTCGATACGAGTAGCACGCAAGGTAGACACTGCACAAGCAGATGAAACTACAACGATTTCTCAGACGGGCTCGCGATGACCTGTCGACTGCCTCGCCCGCGCCACTCGAATATGAACGCGTGCATGGCGATGAGCAGATGGACTACACTTTAATGACGTAGTCGACTGTATTCCAGCCTCTACTCAATGCGTCGGCGACCAGAGTACCCGTTGGCGCAGAAACGTGTGCAGTCGCAGAACGTTAGGATAGATTGGCACCAAGCTCATTGTGGCATTGTGGGGCTGCGAAATCATCGCCAAGAGCAATCAGCTACACTCGGAGTCCGAGCGAGGCGGCGCTGGAATCCAGTTGACACAAACAGTGTTGCTTGACATACCACCAAACGTTGATGGCGTGTCGTGTCGGAACCAGTCTACGACTTTGTCGCGAGTGATTCCTTATTGAGATGACTCAACGTGGCGACGAGCGGTCGATCACGTTGATGGTTGTCTATTGTGCTTTACTTGGACTCTTTCTGGCTCTGCACTTGCTGGCGCATGTTCTTCCACATCGAGCCCGAGACTTGCGACGTCTCGCCCGACCCGCCGCGCTCGCGGTTCATGGCGGCGCGGTCGTGCACTTGCTGGCCGAGCTCCGTGTAGTACGGCAGGTACACGTGGATAAAGCCTACGCGCCGCATGTCAAGAGAGCAGACAAAGGCGCAGCTCGTGTACCGATCGTAGCCGTCGTCAGGGTCAGGAAGCCTGCGACCGCGTACTTGCCAACGTTGTTCTTGGTCATGCTTGTGGGAATGGCCGCATAGACAGGCGAGTGCGCTTCCTGAAAGGCCATTGGTGGAAATCAATTTGTATTTTGAACCAATGGCATTGCACAAACGTGGCATCCACGAAGGCTTGCGAAGCCACATCATGTGCGTTTGTCATTGAAGAAAGCACTGCGGCGCGTCGCGACTCGGGTGCTTCTGAAGCATACCATCCAGGGCCATCTTGGCGTGATCTTGAACGCGCGGGTCGTCGGGCAGTGAGCGCGCTGCCGTCTCGACGACGACCATGCCGCCAGCATCCAAGACGGCGTATTGCATTTCCTCTAGCGTCGTTATCGTCAACGACAGAATCCTAGCACGCAAAGCAAACCATCCACGGCGCATATCGTAGATAGAAGCCAGCAGCCCGAAGATTGTACTGTCGGGTCGGTCGGAAAGTGCTTCATGGCCGCTATGGCCGTGTCGACGCCACCTTTGGCCACCGTGTCGAGGACGCCGCTTGGATTTTTGCACAAGTTGGCGAGGGCCAAACACCCGAGACCTTGCAGCGATGGATGCGTGGGGAAGCGCTGCATGGCACCAAGGATGCTTCGTCGGCAGTCTTGCGTCGACGCATGCGCCGGTAGCGCGCCCAAACCTACTCATGATGGTCATCGTGTGCTGCGTGTTGTTTCTACCTGGATTGCCGAGGAGCGAGAGACCCGCCAGTTGCGCCCGCTTGCTATGTGCGAGCACACGCATCGCGTGCAACACACACGGCAGCACCCGCGCATCGGCATACAAGGCGCCGCTGTCTCCGTTGGCTACACGGTGGTTCAAGACATCCCGTGACGCTTCGCACGTACGTGCTGACGTGCTGTAGGTGACCAACGCTTCCAACGCGTGCAGCTGGAGCTTGAGATTGGACGACTCATCGACCATGGACGCGATGGTATTGACAACGTCGACGGGAAGGGCGTATAGTGCACTAGTCGCCTCGCTGCCTTCCGCATTGGTCATCCGTGACATGCTCGTCGGCTCTTCGTCCGTCGCATCGTCGCTCTCGTCGGGGCTCCAAAGCCCTTGGAGCCGAGCTAAGAATGAAGGCGGGGGCGTTGAGGTGGCGGTAGGTCCGGCGCACTGTAGGGCACGACTACGGGTTCGTTTCTCGGTGACAAAAAGAGCTCGTCGTCGGCGTCATTATCGTCGCTGCTCGCGCGCATCAACGCTATCTGCGGCATCAACCGAGCGAGCTGGGCCATGGTTTCGTGCGGTCCGCTCTGCGACCAAACGCAATAAGTCATTTTTGGACACAGTAGCAGGGCTGTAGTGTAGTACATGTTGGTCGATGTAATCGCTGCACACGGAGAGGATCGCGCGTGCTTGGCACACAAACTGCAACGCTGCTAGGAGTGCAGCCGAAGTACCGGCGGGCGGTAGACGCTCCACCGCGAAGCGCAGCGTGGCGTGATCGGCCGACCCAAACGAGGCGAGCTCGTCGTCGATTGTTGGATGGATCGAGGCCTCGAGGAGCGCAGCAAAAGCGACCTGGAGCGGCAGAAGAGGGTTGGCGTCGACGGACATGACAAATTTGGTTCGTTTCAGCTCGAAAACGCTCGTGGCAGCCTCAAACGCGGCCTGATTGCCAAGGCGGGCGCGCGTTTGCTACAAGTGCTGCTCATTCGAGTGGCTGCCATCCAGTCTACTAGTATTTGATATGAGCTAGAAGAGTTGGTGGTGTCAGGTAGTTGCCTTTAGGTATCGGATAGTACATTGACATTTTCATTGGCCAAGGAGCTAGGAACGTGTAGTTCAAGCCTGTACCTGGACACTATGGGTACGTTGTAGCAAGAAAATGAATTCATGTGAATATGTCCGTGGTTATCGAGCTCTCTTGAGATGCTTCTATGGGTACAAGGCTGCTTGCATGATTGCGTCGGCAGCAACGGTTTAAGAGGTGACAACTACGCGTGCGTCGAGTGGCGTCGGTTCGTTGCGCCGGGGGTCTCGCTGCATTGGTTGGTCGAGAATGACGCGAGGCCCGTCACTCTGTTCGGGTGCAAAAGATGCGCCAGCTTCTCGAGCGTTGTATTCGCGGTTGCCCCCGTTGTCGGTCCCAAAGTCGTCGTTGTGGTGGCGCTCGCGCGGGTTCGAACCGAGTCCCGACGGCTACGACACTCGGATGAGGCCACATATCTCAATAAAAAAATTTACCGATTCAAGCGCGCTTGGACGAGCAAGTCGACCGACATGGTGTCGTGTTGCTCGTGCAGGCGGCTAATGCTGTCGACGCAGAGGATGCTTGTGGCGTTGATTTTCTTGCCCCACTGCGAGTAGACGCCGCCAACGTCCAAGTAGAAGAACGGGCCGGCCGGCCGGCAGCGCGCTTCGACGCGCTTGGGCGTGCCAAAGAGAACGGACCACATGAAACGTTGCACTTGCTCTGCGGTCACATGGCCCTATATTTTATCGGCACATATTTTTAAGTATCGCATTTGGACAAAAGATTAGGGATCGATCACCTTGTCCAAGTAGCGAAAAAGCAAACTGGATTCGCCGATGATCGCGACGGTCGCCCACGGCGCAACGACGTTCTCGGCCGGCAACACAATGTCATGCAAGAGGTGGTCACCAATGTAGCACACTTTGGCCTTCTACAGACACACAATATCGTCCATCTCTGCGTAGACATGCAGAGATATATGGTCGCACCGGCCCCAAGGTGAGCATGAATTCGGTAATGTTGCCGCCGGCGTAGACATGGCCGCGCTCGAGCATCGGCGTGGTCAGTGGAGCCAGCGACTTGGAGCCGCTGTGCACAATCGGCACTTCCTACGAAAAAAAGAACTTAGTTTGTCGAGCATCCTGTGCTTGGTCCTCGTTGGAATACCATGAAGCGTTGGGTGTTGAATGCGTCAAAGAAGACGCTCGGCATGCTTTTGGTCACAATGACATCGAAGAAATGAACCCAGTCTTTCCCGATGGAATATTGGAGCACCTACAGCAGAGTTCGTTGTCGTCAGATCGTAGAGTCGCGCCTCGTACTGCGTTGGTGTGTTCCCACGAACTATTGGTGAGAAGGAACATGCGCTTCTTGGCATTGCTCCGAATGTGCTCGAGCGTCGTTCGAACGTTAGCGTTGTAGCGCAAGAGCACCTCGGGTGTTGCAAGCAGCGTCGGCTGTGGAGCACATTTCGCGCATGAATCGTTGACATACAAGAAAAGAGAGGTTGGCGTACGAGAAAATCAGCTGCGTAGTACGCCGTCGCAGCGTCAAATGCGATCGCGCTCAGGACACTGTAGGCCGACTAGATCGAATTTAGAAACGCGTCCATGTGCATGCGCAAAAGAAGAGACGACTCGTACCCGCGGCAAGATAAACTCCATTTCGTGGAGCACTTCGTCGTGGGGACGCACATACCCGATTTCTTCGTCCGTGATCTAAAATCCACCATGACAGTTATGTCCAGAGAGTGGATAATACTGTCATAATACCGCGCCATGCTCGTAAATGTCGATGAGCCACGCAAACAGCTGCGGAAAGATCATCTCGGGCACGGTGTGAATGATCATCCAGTCCGTCTCGGCGCGGCGCGGCAGCGGGTACTGCCAATTGAGCTGGTGCAAAGGAATTTCCCGCGAGCCGTGGTACCCGCAGAGGATGTCGCCGTTGCTGCCGAAAAAGAGAAAGTTGCCCCGCACTGTGTCGATCGCAAGCCCGCGATGGGCCAAGTGCGGCTGCCAGCCGGGAGCGCCACTGGTTTTGAGATTGAGAAAGGCCTAATACCACCACATATCGATTATTGAGACAGGCGGGGATTGCAAACGACGCGCATGCGTACGGCTTGGATTTTTGTGTACGCGCGCTCAAACGAGGTTTTGAGCAAATGCTCGGTCTTGAACTCGGCCAGCGTGTGGTCAACGTTGAAGCCGACCCAGTCGTAATGTCGGAATGCAAACTGGAGCGACGGGCGTTGCTAGCCTCGTTTTTATAAGAATTGACACACATCCAAATCGGTACCTCGTGCAAGTACTTGGCCGCGCTGCTGTCGCTTCGGAACGTCATGTGCTTGGCGCGCATCTGGATCGCGTGTTGCGCATACAAGTGCAGAAAGTGCGACTTGTGTGCATCGGCGCATTCCTTCCAAAACTCATCGGTCTACAAACGCATGACAAATTTGTACAACCTTGCATTCTTCAGCAAAATAAATGATGTAGGTAGACCTGCGCCGGTGGTAACCACGTCTCGGTCGGCTCGTCGCAGAGGCTTTGAAAGTCATCGGACGTCCCACACGCTACAATGCGCTCCGTGTGCCGGTGGAGATAAGCCTACAGGTACGGTGTGCGGTAAGCAGCGATGCGATAGCGAAACGAAGAGGACCGACCATGACCATCGAGACCAGACCGACGCAGCCGTTGACTAAAATATGGTCCATGGCCCGAAGCCGCAGCTGGGCTGGAAACGAAGGACTCAGTGGGAGCAGCAGTAGCGTCGTCAAGCACTCGACGCGCGGGAGCCGCCAGTCCGTGAGCTTGGCATGTAACTTGGGATTCTAATTGATAAACATTTTTCAAGTTGCCGTATAAAACGACCCAAGGATGCTACTACCAGCGTCTGCAGGACCGACTCGAACGTGTCCAAGACGATCGGCGTTGTATCACCGTACGGCAGAATACACCGGTCGTTGTGCGGCAGTTGCTCTCGCTACTTGAAAGCTTAGAGGCAACGCGTGGGTAGCATCGTACTACATGAAGGATAAAGGTGAGGACTTTGATCAAGTCGGAGCGCGCGTGGAGCTCGGGGAGGAGGACACTGCTCATGGCAAGCACCTAAGAGCGCACGTGAAAAAATATCAACGCGCCCGACCATCGATAGATGCATACAAAGGGCGCGAGCGTCGTGTCAATGAGCACAAACTTGGAGTCCTTGAGCTCCGAGACGAGCTCGACCATGTGCTTGTCATCAAGCAACGTCGACGGACGAACTTGGCGAAGCCGGCGGCCGCTCAGCACGGACGCATCCGGGTGGATGGCGGCGGGAGCTACCATGGCTTGCGTCGGCACCGCCGTGGGCCCGCCCGTCGACGCTGAGGCCACAAACGAGATGAACCCCTAGGATATGTTGGCATCCCTCGTTCCAGCTGGATCGAGTCGAAGGACCTGCGACATCTTGGTTCTCGAGCGCGTCTTGAGCTCGGTCGAGATGACGTCCATCCAAAATGCACGTCTTCGCAGCGACGCCGGCAAGCCCGACGCCACCATGGCTGTAAAGTTCTTGACGCTCATGCCATGCCACGCGACGAGGTCTTCGGTCGCGCTGCCACGCCGGCCCTTCCGCGTTGGCGACGTCGTCGTTGGCGCCATCTTTCCTCGTCACAAGCCGTCTCAACCGGCACCCAGGAATAGATTCCAGCTACGTCAATGACAACTCAACGGCTCGGCGACCCAGCTTGGACGGTGGCCCTTTGCCTGCAACAAGGGAGCTCAAGTCGGCTGCGCGGTATCCCAGCATGGACAGACGGTGAATTTACTACCAAGGGAGGTAGTACATTGCAGTGGCTTCTCTCTCTTGCGACTACGCTTCATGGAGAAGGAAGGAATGAATACAAGGTGGATTTAGTATAGTAAGTTTGCACTCCTCTAATTACCGAGAAGGTCGTAGTCGTCGAGCTTGTCGTTGTACTTGAGGATCGTGCGTTTGATCTTGGAGCTGTCGACCCACGTGACAAAGTCCTCAAACGACCGCGTGACCATGAAGGCCGGGTCCGTGACCGTCGTAGGCCCAACGCGCACGTGGCCTTGCTCGACAAACGTCGTCGCTTCCTTGATGTTTTCCGACATCTTGAGGCGCACCATGACGACGGGCAGGCGCCGCCGGCACATGGCCGACACGTTGAGCTCTTCGGCCTTGAGCAGGCTCTTGGTGCCGTTGATGAGGCCCATCTGGTAGAGCTTCTCGAGCAGCGCTTCCGTCGTCTTGATGCGGAACGGGTCGTTGGCCGGGCGCTTCTTGAGGCGCGAGACGAGCCGGCCGATCTCGCCCACGACCTTGTTGTACTTGTGGTACTGCTCACGGTCGGGCAGGCGGTAGCGGCGGATGACCTTGATCTCATGGATGTTGTTCTCGCTGCGCCAGTCGAGCAGGTCGACCTTCTTCAGGAGCTTCTTCTCATGGAACTTGAGCTGGCGCATGCTACTTGAGCTTTCAGTTGAATTTTCTGCGTCATCATAACCAAGCCAACCAATCGTTTCCGAGATGACCTTGCTAGTAGCACAACGTGCTTGTAGCGAGGGTAACCCGACGTACACGATTTTCACGACACTCAAGAAATAGTGTTTAGCAGAAAGAGGACGTGTCAGCATCTACCGGTATATACCGACGCGATGATGGACGCTACTATATAGGAGGTGGTATGGAAAAGAAGACGCAGAGGAAAGGTCGTGGTGCAAGTACTGCATCGCGCTAGAGAGGCCATTGGAAGGAGCAGAGTGCGCTGCGACCCACGACACACACTATTTGAGGTAAGACCGGATACTGCGTATCCGGAGATAGAAGATCGAACTCGCGCGAAAAGTCGCGGGCAGATTCTAACGAGCATGGAGTCGCGCCCGACCCGCCCCGCGCCACGCAGCATGGACTGGGTCGACAAGGACGTGGTCGACGAGCGCCCAGCTGCCGTCGTGGCGCTGCCGCCGGCGCCGGCACCACGCGTTGCGCCGACCGCGGACCCGCTCGCCGGCTTTGCCCGGAAGCGCATCGTGCGGAGTTCCT